TGTGTGTCTGTGTGTGTGAGTCTCTGTGTGTGTGTCTGTGCGGGTGAGTCTCTGTGTGTGTCTGTGCGTGTGTGTCTCTGCGTGTCTCTGTGTGTGTCTGTGTGTGTCTGTGCGTGTGTCTGTGTGTGTGAGTCTCTGTGTGTGTGTCTGTGCGGGTGAGTCTCTGTGTGTGTCTGTGCGTGTGTCTGTGCGTGTGTCTGTGCGTGTGTGTCTCTGCGTGTCTCTGTGTGTGTCTGTGTGTGTTTGTGCGTGTGTGTCTGTGTGCGTGTGTCTGTGCGTATGAGTCTCTGTGTGTGTGTCTGTGCGTGTGAGTCTCTGTGTGTGTGTCTGTGCGTGTGAGTCTCTGTGAGTCTCTGTGTGTCTGTGCGTGTGAGTCTCTGTGTGTGTGTCTGTGCGTGTGAGTCTCTGTGTGTAGGGGAGCGGTGGTGTAGAGGTTAAGCGCGCTGCGCTACGAACCTGGCAACCCGGGTTCGATTCCTGCTCACGGCCAACACCCAGTGACGATTATCTGAACCGGTCCTGGGCCTCACCTAGGTCGACTCAGCCTCAAATGAGTACCCGATGCGGTGTGTAGTAAACATCGCCACTAGGGAGACAAAGGCAGCCGTGCGTGGTGCTGGCTACCCACGCCCTCATGTGCAGTGCCGGCCTTCATAAGCGCTACTCGCTAACAGCACTTGCCCCCGCAGTCTGTTAAGGGCATACGGGGGATCTTTGTCTTTGTAGTAGGAGGGGACGCGGCGGATCGCCTGCTGCTCTCAGCGCCTCGTGTGTCGCTCCATATGCGGCACAGCGCCCCGGCCCTTCCCCCCCCACCACACAACAACCCACCACTACCAACCAACCCCAGAGCACACGCCACCAACACAAGGCATTTGACGTGGCGTCCCATTCAACATTTCCAAGGGCAACGTTGCACGGCACGTCTCGTATCAACACCCGCGATCGTTTTCAGCCAGGTCCACCACCCAGGTCACCGTCTTGAATACTGAGACCATATCCCTCGCTGGGCTATCGATAGTACTCATACTACTCACAACAAACATACACTTGACTGTGACCCCCCCCCCCCCCACATCGCCTCCGCCGAATAGCCGCCAGCCATATAAACTGGAACTGTCCGGGGCTTCGCTCCGGATAACGTGACCATGCCCCCCCTTGCCGATGTGTGGGGGAACAAGGCGGGCGGGCGGGCATGCTGGTGGTGCTGCACAGGGGACGTCGCCTCATCCCTCGGCTCCTCTTCTCGCCATCCTCTCCTCCGAATGCTTCTTTAATGCCACGTGTGCGTGCGTCTTCGATTCCCGCACACGGCCGACGCCAATGACGATTTGTCTGGACCGGTCCTGCGTCTCCCCGAGGTCGACTCGGCCTCAAATGAGTAACCTGGTGCGGTGTGTAAAACATCGCCACTTTGGACGCAAAGGCGGCCGGGCGTGGTGCTGGCCACCCCACCCCCTCTTGTGCCGTACCGGCCTTCCATAGGTGCTCGCTAACAGCACTTGCCCCAACAATCTGTAAAGGCTACACGGGGGATCTTTGTCTTTGCACGTATCGGGCGCGCGCACCGCCGTCGCCGCCACCACCACCACGACCATCATCATCACCCCACGCACAGCCGAAGCACGCAAACTCGCACCTAAATAGTCAACATTCAACCCATAACCCGCTATATTGTAATGTATTGCTACAATATAGCGGGATATATTGTAACATAATATAATGTAACGCAGCACTGTATCACGAAAACAAAATGAGTAAGGCACGCTTGTGGAATATGCGCGCTTCTGCCGAAATGAGTTATTTTTGAGTGCTTAAAATATTCGAGTGTTCACAATGTCAGCAGCCATTGACGATGGGCTCGATTCGCGTGCACGAACTGGTGAAGATTGACCGCGTAGCGAGACAGTGAGAGACGGAGACAACGAGGATTAATGAGAGGGGGGGGGGGGGGAGCATCATCCAACAGCGGGTAGATCATAGCTGACGATGATGATCACCGTGGATACAGACAGCGTACGGACAGCCGAGCGCGGCGGCTGTTATTGCGCATAACATTAACATCGGCGTCATTTCAACGAGTCAACCTCCGCCAAACAGCTTGGTACCGTGGTACGAGGCAGCAGCAGCAGCGAGTGTGTGTGTGCATGTGCAGTCCCGAGGCACGAGATTCACACGCGCACGCCGTACGCACCACGCGCCGCGAAGTGTGGGTTAGAACAACCGGCAGCCACGATCAACACGGCCCGTGCGGAGGCTGTTTCATCCAGCAGTGGATTAAAACAACAAACTGTACATGAACTGTAGAGTGTAATTGTAAAGGCTATGTAGAATCTATCACGCATAACTGACCTATGTCTGCACAGGTAATTTATACTTTACTGGATGATGAGAAAGATTCTTTAAAATAAATGAAAGCCGTTATATATTTATTCAATAGAAAAGCCAGTGCTTTCATTTGCCGTTTTAATTTTACTGTAATATATTACACTTGTTTAGATAAGTCTCTATTAAAAAAAAACCCATTTGAAATGGGGATCTCCATCTGGTTATAAACAAAGGATACATTATTAAAACGTTCCGCTTGGCTGGCCTGCTTTAGCTGTAAGGCACATCATAGTCAAGGTCATCTCGCCAAAACGTCAACCCTGTTCTTCCATCTCGGATTTCACTGCGGTGCTACATGCAGGAGGTGCGTCGTTATTCGCGTTTGCACACTTCCACGTGTACACACTTCTACGTGTACACACTTCTACATGTACACACTTCTACGCGTACACACTCGCGTTCTTTCAATACACGTCCTGCATGCGGCATCGCCCAGCTTTTCTGGGCACTTTCCGAAAAGGGTTTTCAAGTAGGCCTACTCTGCGTAAGCGCTTTGAAGTGTTGCGTGACCCCCCCCCCCCCACATCTCGCTCGGCAATTGGCCGTGCGCTTTGAGAATACCTGGGGTTCAAAAAACATTTTCACACATTTTTTACGCAGATTGTGCTTTCTCGCGTCATGCCACGAGATGAGGGATCCATTCGCATTTCTCGCAGAGCGGTGCAACCCGTTGTTTGAGAGTGGTCCTGTGGAAACGGATATTGCAGAACGACTTCTGAGATGCCTTTAAGTGACCTCTGCTCCACGTAAGTGGTGGTGGTGGGGGGGGGTCAAACGTTATTTGTAAAGAAGCAGAACTGAGCTTGCTTGGGGAATGCATTTATTTAAACCACTCGATGCACGTAATAAGGAATAACCAAGCGCCGTTACATCCACGACTTTAATATATTGCATAAATACAAGCGCACACAGTTAACCCACCATCGTGATGTGCTGGCCCATTGCCTTTAAAATCAGTGGCTGTAACCATCATCATGAAAGCCACCTTGGTCAGCATTTGTAAAAACAAAAAAACGGGGCGTTTGTAAATTTCCATCAAGCGCGCCTATGAAGTCTGGCACGGCGGATGAAAAAGGTGATGGTGTATCCGTACCCCCGTCGCAGATGTTTACACGCACACACGAGCATTGCACCCTTAGATATACAGCATGTGTATATTAAACTACACACCAACACTATGTATGAATTACACAGGCTCAGGATTATCAACAGCGTTGCGCATATTATTACACTCCCAGCTTTCGTGACTGCAGGAATTCACATTCTTTGGGTCTTTCGGTAAAGTCACGTAGATAGGTTCAAAGAAAATAACAAAAAACTACGACGTTTCGATGACTGCTTGTGTTGCGATCGAAACGTCATAGTTTTATATTTTGTTATTTTCTTTGAATTTATCTACGTGACTTTACCGAAAAACCCAAAGAATAGCCATAATGTCATTTACCATGCCAAACACAGATTGTCTTAAAAGTCAACGGGCTTGCAGCTGTCTGACACGAAAGCTTTCGCGACCAATATCATCCATAATAGAGGTTTGTTGTTAGATCGCGTAAATATATAAATGTGTCGTTAACACGCCACCACCCGACACAGCCAACTAGTAAAGGTTGTCACGTAAACAACGTGCCAATTGGTGACTACTTCAGCCCACCGGTGTGTTTGGAGAGTAAACCCACAACATTTACAATTCCGGGTACTGCGACGTTTTGTAATTACATCCAGCATCATCAGACGATTTTTGTCAGAATTGTGAAGAGATCCAAACTGTTTCCGGTCTTAACGGTAATTTACGACCTCAACAGAGGGTCGTGTTTGGTTTGGACAAAATGTGTTTTTTTTGGTGTGTTGGTAACTCGAGCAAAAACTGGCATGAGAAAAAAGCATTTTACTTCCTGACCCTGGAAGAAAGTATAAAGTATGTTTTAAACATTAACAACAAAAATCCCCAACGTTGTGCGTCTGTTTGTGCAAGGTCTTGCTCAGGTTACCAACATTGATAACCATGCTTGGGAAAAAAACACGAGAATCATAAGTGGCTGCCACCCTGCGATTGCTCTTCAAAAGTGAATCATAACGCCTTGGAGCGATCGCGAGTGTTGTAATAATGTATACATCTCATATTGAATTACCCACGGTAGCACACTCGATATGCAACATACTGCATTCCATTTGAGTTATTAAGAATGCTGTCATTTTATTTTACAAACATAAACAAAAATGTTGGTAAAGTCTTGTCCATTATGACAGCATATTCTACGTGATTAATGTTTTCACGTTAAACGTAATATTTCGATTTAAAGCTTTCGTGACTGCAGGGATTCATCTTCTTGGTTCTTTCGGTAAAGTCACGTAGTAAATAAGTAATAAAATAATAAAAATAAAACATAATAAAATAATATTATATTATTTTATTATGTTTTATTTTTATATAATATTATATTATTTTATGTTTTATTTTTATTATTTTATTACTTCCCAACTACGTGACTTTACCAAAAGAACCAAGAAGATAAAACATAATATTCTTAAATGTGTTCTCATTTTTCGTTATTTCCACATTTATTTAAACTTCTACCCTGAATCGGCCCTTACCCGCAGGTCAAAAATAGAATCTAATTATGTGCATAATTGGCAATAGCGTAACCATGACATTAACAGTAAGCACCACTATGCTGACTTTTAAATAATGACCCAGGCAAAACATTATTATACAACTACTCGATAACCAATTGTCCAGATCATTCCATTTGGAAATGTACGCAAGCTCATTTTCAGTGGGCCTGCAATGGTTAATCATTGAATACTAATGCTTACACTCAATACATTCTTTGAATCATACGAATAAGCATAGAATATTTTCAAATTATACATTTTTTATAATTTCTTTAATGGAATGATTCAGACAGCCCCGACGAGACAACACAACATTCAAAAGTACCGGAAAAACCGACGGTGCACATGAGAGACAGTGGGAGCCCATACAAATGAGACGGCGCGTTGAGAACAAACTAAAAGCGATTCGATTACCGAATCAAATCATCGCACACCTCATCCAATCACAGAATTGCCCGTGCACCGTTTCACGCCTGAATGAAAACGCCAAGTCTCTAACCAAGCCGATAATGACGGACGAACATCCCCGCAGCCGGAGCCAGCACCGCGAGCTCCCATTACTTCCCATCAAATTAAACCAGTGCTCAAATTAAGGGACTCCGCATCCCTTGACTGACGCCCGCCACTACCCACCACCCAGTCTCTCGCCAAGTCGCTGCACGCACCACGAATTGGCCGAGCTCCTGCCTGCCTGCCTGCCGACGCTGGGACGCTACGTTTTCGCTGCGCAGCGTAATGGGCCTTGAAATTATCCACACGTGCCCTTCCGTTACAAAAAAAACAACAACAACTTAGTGCTACCGAGCAGTTCCACCACACCAATAAACAGATTAACATTTTTTATTCCTTTGTTTTCAATTAAAGGTTCACGGAAAAGTCGTTTTCATTTTCTAGCCTACGTAACAAACAAACGTGCTATTGTTGGCAGACAGAGGCCACGTCTAATGTGCATCGCAGCTCACTTTCTACGTTGCAAACAATGGCCATTAAAAAGAAAACCCCACCAGTATCTTTAGTGCAAAGTATTGCAAATGCTTGACCTAGTTACTACAACTGTATTCAATTGCCAAGCACCGCTCTATGGCTAAGGAATACCGGACACATAGCGACGTGCCTCGCAGGGGAACGGCACCGTGAACTTAACAAATTCCTTGAATAAGCCACCTCGGGCCAAAAAAAAAAAGACCTCCATTGTACACGGGCAACCTTGTCCGTTTACACATTATACAAGTCACTATATATATGCAACTCAATTATAATTGTACAGTATTACGATCAGTCGAAAAATAATCTGCCCAAACTGACGTAAGCTACAGTGATTGTATTGATGTCGATTTGTGTTTGTGCAATATTATCGATTTCTCACGTGGCACAGCTTTTTTTGCTCCCATTTCTATAGGCTCCATTGCTGTAATTGATTTTATTTGGTTTGCTTTTATCATTTTGGTGACCCCCCCCCCCATCTCCCCTCCCCGGTCACTCTTGCGCATGAGAGGATATCCTGGCCTCGGTGAGTTCTCACCTGGTTAAACAAAATAAACTTGAAAGTTGAACCACCTACAGCGGGCTACAGGAAGCGATTGCCATGACCATAGGAGTGGAAGCAGTGCATCCACCCTCACTGTCATCTGCCGTGTGATGGCCAAAAGCAGAGAAGGGAGTTAAGACTCACTGTGGGTTATAGGTCAGCCTAACCTCACAATGCCTCACTTACCCACTATTAACCAGCCAATGATGGTGCCCCATTGTGTAGCTGTTGGCGGTTGGGTGATTGTCGAAGAGTCGGTACCACTTGCTGTCTCGTTAGAACTTAGCACAGGGTCTGGATGCTGCATCCTGTGACTCACGATTTGAAGGCGACCCATCGTCCGTCCGACTGCGGCTGGCCGAGGCCACAGGCTCGTGCCAACAATAGCGGCGGCTCAAGTTCACCGGCGATCACTCGGAGCTGCGTGCTTTGTGGAAGATGCTGTCGGCACGGTGAGGCAAGACCCACGATTGTCCGCGTCTTTGCTTAGCGGGTTGCGAAAGAGTTCACAAACCAATTCTGAGCTGAGGTAAATAAAGTACTGTGCACTTCCTGCGTACACGTTGGCCCATAGGCGCGCATGTACCAGAATACATTTCAACGGTTAGAGAAAGAGAACAAGCCACATTACCAAAACACAGATCAGCAAGTGTCATGTTCAGAGAGAGTAAACAGCATATAAACATTTGAATAAAGACCTCTGTGACAGCGTGTGTGATTTCCTCTTCCAAGGATTTAGCCGCCAATCTAAACGAAATAAACCACGTAATTGATGGCTCTGCAACGCCTTAATTAGGTGTTCACAAAAAAAAACGGTCACAAATTATACGGCGGCACAAAGGTACTGCCGTCGACATGACCAAACAACTGCAGGTTGGAAAGTGTAGCTACAAGATCGATCCAACGGTCAATACGACTAATTGCTTCAACTCTAATCCAGGGGATGTCAGACTCGTGTGGAGGCACAGGGGCGCCTGGGGATGGACACAGAATGGAGTATAGTCGTATGCATGCGTGTACGTAGAATTTCTTTCACACCGTACATTGCCGATCGTGCTCATCGGAGGTGCAGGGGAAGCACAACAAACCTAACACAAAAAGCAGCTCTACAAAAATTCGTTTTCAATTTAGACGATTTTAAAGTGCACAGCTACAGTGGCTTCCTAATATCGGAAAGGAAGAGCGTTCCAGACGGCCGCAGAAGCGCATCCGAAAGCGCGCGATGTAGCGACCGCCTTTTGTTTGACCGTTATCCAAAAGCCGCTGCTGTGAGGATGACCGGAGTTTGCATGATGGTTTATGCTCCTTGATGAAGTATAGCACACTCAGCTATGCTTATTTAGTTTGTGACTCGGGCAGATTTGTGAAAATCTAAAACCCACCGGACCACGAAGTGGCAAGGCAGTACAGCAGATGCGTTTGCGAACGTGGCCGTGCAGATCTCCGACTGTTACTTCAACCTCTACTGAATGGCAGGTTGTTACTTACACATGCATAAGCCCAATACCTTTCTACTGACAAGTCTTGAGACTCGGTGTGGCATTTCCAAATAAATGAATGAAACGACGTTGCTTAGTACAGTACATGCGGGCAACAGAGTTTGTGTAAGTGTAAGGGCACACTGAGGGGGGGGGAGGAGGTTGGGGGGGAGGGCGAGGTGACCCACCACCACGACAACAACGCCGGCAACAACCAGCACGAGCAGGAGCGGCGCAGGCGGGCACTACGAGGAGCACAGCACCGAGCGCTCCAGAGCGAAGTCGTACGCGTAGCTCTTGAGGCTCTCGTCGGCTTGGCTCAGCTGCACGAAGACGGAGGACGGCGGGTCCTGCTGCCCCTGCCGGCCCAGCTGGTAGCGTGGCGCCAGCGAGAAGGGAACTCCGTGCAGCCAGCTCAGCGGGTGGGCGGCCTCGCCGCTCTGTTGGGCAGGGCCGCCGCCGGCGGCGGCCGTTGAGCCTCCCGTTGCCGCCTGCCCCGGCTGAAAAATATAATAACGTTGGAATACGGAAGGGTCAAGTGAGGTCATATATTAAGTCAGGTCAAGCACGGGACACTGCAATAATTTTGACGTGTGATCCTGATGAATGGTGACCGGCTGCAAAGACGGTGATGCAGGGGAACACTAGACCACGAATTTGATTGGGATGTCAAACGTCAACCGCTGCATGGGATCAAAGAAGCTGCCTTGGTTGAAAAACGCAGTGACGGAGAGAGAAAAGTGGACAGAGATGTCGGTGAAAGGAAACGGTCAGGCCCCAAAGGCCTAAAAGGCTGCAGGGGCGAGAGGAAGACAATGAAGATGCCACTTGAAGACAGCAACCAACCAAGAGAGATCGACATGCAACTGAGCATTAAACGTCTACCTGGGCAGGGTGGTGGATAGAATGGTCTAGACTCAGCTACAAGTATGATCATATGACCCAGGTCAAAGAATGAACAGCAACTTCACCTCCCCACTGCCAGTCAATGGTAACATGAGCAATAATACCAGCTTTGAACACTTCCTTCTGCTCCCCACTTATTACCAGGGCAGTTAATACACTGGAGGAAAAAAAGGATCGACTCATTGGTTCTTTGGATTCAAACCGACTACAAAAAACACGTTTACATCAACGTTGTGGGGTCAGCAATACTTTTTATAGTCTAAACCTAAAAAGTGAGTCACCATTTTGCAACATTATAAATGTGAGATGTGCATCATCTGCCACTCTGTAGGAACCTGACCTGCGTGACAGCTCCTGAGACAATATTGCAATGACTAAACTTACATAACTGTGGGAATCGGGGCACGCATCACAAAGTCTTTAACAAAATAAATGCTTAAACTCTTATGGACGATAGCAGCATCCCTCTAACCACACTCTCGTGCATGCGGCATTCCATTTCAGTTTTCCACGATTCATTTCTCATTTGGCACAAGCGGCCGGAACGAATTTAAATGTACGTCCTGTCGAGGAGATGCAGTGATGAAATAAGCTCGTACATAGGCGTTAGGTGGAATGGGGAGGCTTTCATCCATCAGGGTAATTTTCCTGCTGCTGCTGATGATTATGATGATAGCAACTTGTAAATGTGGTCCCATCCATGCTGTGATCCAGGCTTACCAGGTTTTCTGAGTGCCCGAGTCAGGTGTGGCCAATGTCATTCCATGCCAATCCCACAACACAAAAACTCGCACTCAATGGCCACACCTGTCGAAGTTATCTATGTAGCAAACTCCGGTTTGAGCTGAGTACAGGCTGCAGAGAGCTGCTTTTTCCGGTTCTGATTCAGCCGATCTCATTAGGTTCAAATGTATCATCAAAGCAAGGTTGCTTGCACTGATAATTGCCACTAAAAAGTAATCATTCCAGCAGAACCTGGACCGTGAGGGGAGCTGACTACAAATGAACAAAACAGCGTAATGGAAATCTATAGTGTACGTTGCAATTAATGGTAACGTTTGGAATACTATTGCAAAGACATGCATGCATAGAAGTAGAATTACTTTTCGTGGGTATAGGCTGACCGTTGTGGGTTATTGAAATATGTCGGGGGTTGAAGTCCAGGCGGTAAGTGCATAAAGTCGACCATGTACTTGCTTGCTATAAATCATTTACAAGATTTATTTTCGGGCCCCCTTAAATTATATCCCCAGTGCGACATAGTGAATTGCTCGGCTGACACGTTACACTTTTTCACGATTCATGTTACTTCATGAGGACTATTGCAGAGGTAAACTATACGCCGTGGAATAAATCAACGTATCAACATTATCGGCACGCTACATTTTCTCATCACGTGGTGCACGGAACTGTTTATAAAAATGGAATAAACAGAGGAGACCGCTCAGAGGGGAGAAAATATTTTTCTGTTTTATGTTTTCACATGCCGCACTGTTTGTTCACGTCTTCGAGCCTTTGAACACGTGGGAGATCAATAGCTCCATTCAGGGAGCCCGTTCTGCCTGCCTGTGCTCTGTAACAGTGATAACACTTGACAAATGAATGGCAAAGTCCAGTTCCCTTAGACTCCACAAGGGTCGGGGTGTAGGCGGAGGAAAAAAAAAGTGAGGGTAAAACCTCCCCCCTCCATCTTCCCTAATGAAACAGAATTGGTCTGTGGGCTTGGGAGGCAAGACTTCAAGAATGTGTGCAAAGGTTTCTCCTTTACAAGGAGAAGGACATGGGGGGGGAGAGGGGGAATGCATCAACTCACGATTAATGTCTGGAAAACGAAACCCGTGGTCGACAACACTTACAGGCTCAAAAGCGGCTGCCGTTGGGCAATGTGGGGTCAAGTGAGCGAGGCGTTACCTGACCTCGCCTCCAACCTGTTGGGCCCACGTGAGCAGCATGACGGATAACGCCGGCCCGTCGGGGCAGTTCCGCCCAGTGGGCGCAGGGCCTCGTTAAGTGGCCTGGTCCAGGACTCCGGGAGCTCACGGTCTCCAAGTGACCCGACACCCCCACCGACATTTTGTTCACGTGGGAGGGGGTGGTGGTGGGGGGTGCTACACGTCTGGCAAAGTTGTGGTTTGTTGTTTTGGTGTTAGCCAGCGCTTCTTTACGGAGTACCACCCACACAAAGAAAACAGTCACTCCTTGTCTAAGCAATCCCCCAGCAGCCATATGAGTACAGGGTCATGCGTGCTTGCTTAGGCAGGCCAGGTCACGATACAGTATTTTCATGCAGTGCATTGCACTGCAAGTGCTTTGCTCATGGCTGGATGGAAGCATGAGCAGTAATCGTCTTTGCATTCTGCTTTGAGGTAAGGATAATAACACAGAAATGTTGTTTGCAAAAAAAAACATTTTTTTACGATTAAAGCTTCAGCCACATGCAGTTATGTATAACATGGCACTGAATTATGCTTTGTTTTGGTTGAGCTTGGTGACATTGTGGGCATATGGCCAACATTCGAATTGATTGACTTTAAATAATTATTAACTCCCTTCACATAAGAGGTGAAAACAAGCTGCAATTTTTTTAAAGGTGGATTAAAGTGTGTTTTTAAACTAGGTTTCTAAGTTGATGAATGGCATTAGAGCCTGCTAATGTCAAAGGAATGCTATTGCTGCTTCAGTATTTCAAGCACCACAAGCGCTGTTTTTGTGTATATAAAAGTAGATCTTAAAACCAACTCTGGATTCCTTATTTATAAACACCGTGCAAGGGAGTGGTGGCGGCACAGATTGTGTGTGCGCACTGCCCTATGAACCCGGGAACCTGAGCTCAACGCCCAGTCACGGTTAACATCAGCGGCAAGTGATATTCGAACCGGTCCCGGGACCTCCACCCCTTAACCAACCTGCATTGACATGCACGGTAAAGTACGGTCAAAATCCCACATGGCTGACAAGGGATGGGGAGGCTTTCATCGAGCGGTGGGTTGACAGAGAGCTGACTACTATTATATACCACTGCAACAAAGCTCTTGAAAAAAACCCAACCCTTCTGCCTCTCTCATTCTCCCGAGCAGGAAGAGCAAGCGACAGAGCAAGACCTCAAGGGCCATAGCCCCCATCAGGCCTGTTTATCAGGCTTCTAGGGTTTAGAGCAAGTGTCAGGACAAACATAGAGATCACGCGCGCCCGTGACTGGAATGCAGAGTCGGAGCCGCACACAAGGCAGCTGGACCGGTCCGCCACCGTGCTAGCACAAGCGTCTGATGGGCCGTCGTGTCTGCCACAGCACGGGGTTTGTAATGCTAAGCAACGTCCGCGAATTGACTCGCGGTTATAAACAATGCTCAAACCTGCACGAGCCCCAGTGAGGACGAGCGGCGACACGGATCGGTGACCGCCGAAGGCGGTCGGGTTGCAGAACCTACTGGGACATCTGTGAAAAAGAGCTTTATTGCTCATCGGATTCCTCCAGTATAAATAATCGGATTCTGAGAACCTCCTGCCACTCCCCAGCCCCCATCAATGCTAATGTTTTGTGACAATTGCCCTGGGAGCACACCTGCCCCCCCATCCCCCCTCCTCCACCTCTTCCCCATACTTCAAGGCACATGCGTAGCATCTGCGGGGATCACGCTCTACAGTTTGGTCATCTTCGGAAATCACCTCTCTGGCTCTGTTGCGCGCTCTCTCTCCCACGTGGGAGCCAGGCCCGGCCGCGGGTCAGCAGCTGGAGGAGACGTTGCCCCGGCTAGGCTCGATGGCTCTGCTGGAAATATTTCAATGCCCGAGCAGCTTCTCAAATGTCAGCAGGACTTAAGGGTCCCCGCGGTTATGTTATTGCAGATCGTTTACGTCTATATGTAAAAAGCCTGTTCATTATAACTTTCAAGATATTAATCAGAAATTGTGAGAGAAAAAATGCAAAGCAATTGACTTTTCAGCTGTAACTTATTTTTACTCAAGAGTGCGTGAAGTCTCCCAAGTAGGAAATGAGTTGATTAAAATCTACGCACTGTAACTTCACCAACCCGCACTGACCAGCGTGGTGAAGTATGGTCAGATGTCTTTCATGGCCGACAATGTTGCGGAGATGCCTTCATCCAGCAGTGGATTGACCAAAGGGCAGTAAATAATAATTATGACCTTTAATTTGTTTTTATTACAAATGTTATAATCAGGGTACATATTGCAAAGATTATACACACTATATGTGCATTACAGTACCGGACATAGTACGCGTGCATGCATGTGTACACATAATATGAATACACATGGCCTACTCAGGCCTGAAGTGATGAAATGGACCAGTGCTCCAGTTTTATCCAGGCGCCATACATGCCACGGACCCCTGGCGGCTATGAATCTGCGTTGATTCTGGCCGCTTTATGGGCCTGAATTTGCGGTTTATGGGCAAAGATGCGCCGAGGTGTAGAAAGCGGACAGATGAAATGCTTGAAAAAAAAAGGCAGTGATGAGAAAAACCTACGAGAGAGCGGTAATGCACTCCTCCTGTGGCACGGCGGTAATTGGTGGCAGGTAATCCCGTCAAATTCTTGCCGTATGCACAGCACATGCAAGTTGTAAAAAGTAGGGGGGGGGGGGGGGCGGCCGGGGAGAAACCCCAACAAAATAAGAGCACAATGCCGCTAGTGTGTGGATTGACCCTATGGCATATACTGCCTCCTTAATCAGTAACATGAGGATATATTTATAGCAGGGCACTGCTGCATGGACAGACTCTGCACTGCTCGTGTTGTGTGCGTGTGTGCCGAATTAATCACAGACGCCCCCCACCCCCCCGCCAGCCTCCGGGCACTAAGAATGTGAATCAACTGACACCTGTACATTGTTTACCGTAGAATTCCACCAAGGTGGGTCGGTTTTATTCTCTCCTTCCTAGGCAGGCGGAGCCATCGGTCATTCCCATGGCACGTTAACGTGAAACGTAGCCGGAAGCAAGAATAGTTGCTCTTCATTTGGCCGTCCGGTAAGAAAAAAATACATCGGAAGCAACGAGACACGTGGCGTTTTACTGGCCAGGGCACAAAAACAGCTGACTGGCGACGGGTGGAGTCGAGGCAAGTGCGAGTGGATAGCGCACTGCGCTATGAAGCCGGCAACCTCGCTATGAAGCCGGCAACTTCGCTTTAACTCCCAGCCATGGTTTATGTCACAGGCGAGCGATATCTAAAAACCAGTCCGGGGCCTCCCATTCATGAACCCAAACTAGCCAGGGTGAAGAAGTATCGTCAAACGGCCCACCACGGTCGACACTGAATGGCGAGGCCTTCATCCAGCAGTGCATTGACAAAGGGCCGTGCCGTATAACTGGCGATAAAAGGATGGAGGGCACGCGGGATAATGGTGGGACCAGCTAATGGGCTGGGGTACGAACCTCGCGTTTGGCATGGGTCACACCCTCACGATTTCCAGGAGATTCAATTAATTATATCGATTAATCGTTACTCTACGATTCAAGAATAATTGTTTTTATATTGTGATTAATAGTAGCACCTCCAATGGCCGCAGAGGTGACGTTTATTCCATTTCGTAAAATATCATCATCGACCAAGATCGAGCCACTGTTGGATGAACGCTATACACATCAAATACCTCGATTGTTGGACTATAAAACTATTTTATAATTTACCAGGTAAGGCCCACTGAGCTATTAAGCTATTTTTCAGAAGTGACCTGGCCACAAATGATAGCTCAACGAAGTGGCTTATCACGCGGAAATTTAGAGCAGCCAAATGAATCTAAACGCACGTTTCTAAATGTGGAGGGGAAAAAAAACAGAGAACCCGGACAAAAATCCACGCGACCATGGGGAGAGTGACACGCAAACTCCAAATATACAACAGGCGTCAAGGCTCGGGATCGAACCTACGAACTCCTGCAAACCAGGCGAAGTAGTTAACATCTCGCCACCGCGGCACATATCATGTGAGCTTGACAATATGTACGTATTTAATTAATTGATGCATTATTCCACCCTTGGGTATCGTGAGCACATGACCCGTCCTGCTTGGCACTGGGGTCTGTTTGAAACCTGGGCGTTGGCCCACTGAAAGTTCCACGTAGCCAAACAAAAATCACATGAGGCTCGCAGGGCTGAGTGCACTGCGTGACTCTCTCCCAGCTCGGAGCTTTGATGTTGCCTTTCATTTAAAAGGAATTGCCTAACTAAATCATACGCAAATTTTGACCCTATTATGAAACACGTGATATCTACAAAGAGGGGGAACAGTTGCTTTTTGTTGCTGAAGTCCTTAGTCCGCTAAGATGAAGCTGAGGCGGAGTATGAAAATAATTGATTCCCGCAGATAGTTTTGTGGCATCGTTCGAATTCCAAGAACCACTACTTCTGTGCCCTCCGCAGATGGCTTTTGTAAGATTACAATTCAACTTAAAAACATCAACCAGTCACCTTTACATTGCATATTGTGTACGAGTACATTCATTGTTCAATTATTTCATCTTTTATGAGACCAAATATGTTGAACAAATATTACTGGTAGGAACCTCCTGGTTACACCAGCCCACAGGGGATTATTGTGTCCGTCCGTCCGTCGTGCAGGGAGGGGCTGGGTGGGGAGCGGCTGGGTGGGGGATGGGAGGGGTGGGGCTGAGTGGGGAGGGGGTGGTCACCCCGTGGTGCCCTTATAAAACTCAACATTTAACCTACTCACGCCGGCTTGTGCCCACCCTCACAGTCGGACATATTTGTGGAATACACCACGCCGCCGTTGACCCTGGCCATAGACCGAGCAACCCAACGTTCCTACCAGCTCCCTCCGCAGGAATGTGTTAATAAATGTATTTAATACCTTTTCAAATATATGAATGGTAATACTTTATACTGTTAGGTGCAGACCTAAAACAGGTTGGACATTGAAATGATCGCTCATAATTTACAATGTTGAACTGCACTACGAAAGCTGGCACCCTGAGTGTGACTCCCAACTACGGCGAACATCAATCGTGATATCTGAACTGGTTCTGCTCCCCTAACAACCACTACACCCAACCCTCAAGCAGGCATCTTAAAGTCTGACCAAACAACCTGGGTTCTCAAAGGAGTATGGGGAAGGCTTCGTCCAGTAGTTGATTGATAAAGAGCTATAAATTATAATCTTATCGTTAATAAATTCCCAAGTTCAGCAGTGCTTGCAGAGTAACTATTTTGCTACGTCGAGCACTTTTTTCTGCAACTCTTTTCACATCGTTACCAATGTTCATCGGTTTCTACAGACGTTCTCCCGAATGTGTCCTAATAGGCAACCCAAGAAACTAAGGGGCATTGGTGTTCGGTGGTACGGTGGGGGTACGGATGCTGTAATTTTCTCTGCTGCCAAACAGAACGCTTAGCACTCTTTCTCTTGGCTCCCCCCGGAGGTGCCTCGCCTCCGACAGGCCCCAGTATATAACCCCGACAGGGCGATTGCTCAGGCTAATGAATGGCCTGGCCCCTGTGCGAGGCCCGACTTGCTGCGTAATTACAAATCAATCACCCGGCATCGATGCTCCGCTCACGCAAAAGGGTGCATCCCATTGAGAGGAGTACTGATGCGACAATAAATTTGAAAAACGATGCAACGCTGTGCCCTTTTCCTGAATCCACGGCCGTAGCTTGGAGGTGACTGGCGCAGCAGTTAAGAATTTTTGATCCTTAATTCCTCAATCAAAGAAAGTTCCAAGTGAAAGCGGCTGATTGCGGTCGATGGCACAACGCCAAATTCAGTCGAGGCACGCATCGGACATGTGACTGAGATGAACCGTTGTTAAACGACCAAGAAACAATAATGATTGTGACCTATAAGCAAACAGCTGAAAGCAAAAATAATAATAATCCGCACTGGGTAATTTTTCTCAAGAAAAGCAAAAGCACATTTTTAACCACTATAACTTTCTAAGACGAAAAAAAAACCTTTATAAATAACGACCGCGTGTTTTTTTAAGGGAGCCATTCAAGAACTGCTGGTTTTGATTTTATGACTCGTGGAATGCTGACCAGACGTTTGCGAGTGCGCGTGCCCGAGCTCGGGTTGCACAGGGCCTTCGCTCTGCCCACCGACATCTGCCGATGCAGGTTGTCCCCGCCAACGCAGCACACAAGCCAGCTGGGCGGCGCGGGGCACACGGGCCAAGCAGCCGCTGCCATCGCCTCCAACCCCTCCACCCCCCCTCCAAAAAACAACAAAGACAAAGATCCCCCGTATAGCCTGTAACAGTGTTGGGGGGGAAGGGCTGTTAGCGGGCACCTATGAAGGCCTGGCACGGCACACGAGGGGAGTGGGTGGCCAACACCATGCCCGGCCGCCTTTGTCTCCCCAGCTGTGATGTTTACTTACCACACACTATGTACTCATTTGAGGCTGAGTCGACCTAGGGGAGGCCCAAGACCGGTTCAGATAATCGTTACTGGTGTTGGCCACGAGCGGGAATGGAACTCGGGACGCCGGGTTCGTAGCGCAGCTGCGGTAACCACTACACTACCGTTCCCCCTTCATACATGCGCACGCACGCACTCGGCTTTCATTTATCCAGTCAGAAGCCGTACGCCGTAAACGAGCGGCGTTTAAAGCCTGGCAGTACAAATGGAATGGCACAAAGATTAAACGCAATTCTTGTATACTCTTTGGTTCTTTCGGTAAAGTCACGTAGGTAGAAAAATAAAATAATACATCACGACGTTTCGATCGCAACACAAGTGGTCGTCCTCAGGCGGAAAAAATAATCCAGCAGTGGAACTGCTGTGGAAAGCTTCAAATCAAGACAGTCCTTGTATTTATTTTGTTCTTTTCCATTGGGTTAGATGTTTACTAGAAAAGAACAAGGAAAGGGAAAATGCTATAAATGAAACGCCGCCATGGTTGTTATTCATCTTGAAGCGAGTTTTCACGGAGAAGACGAGCACTGGTTGTTGGCACTGCTCTCTTGCATAAGAATGCTCCTGTTAAAAAAGAAATATGCTTGCTTATCCCAAATGATAACATTGAGATCAATGTCCCCATTTGCTTTGCAGTTAGTATGGTGTGCACGGGGCATATGCCGTATCTTAGGAAAGTTAAATGCCCCACGATAACAGCCCAATCCTTCTTTGCGCCATGCAATCCATCGTGTATAGGAGTGCACCGTTTGTCATTTGTGCTGCTGGCAAGCAACACATGTTCAGACAGGAACGCATTTTAAGTTCAGGGCAATTTGAGTATTTAACCACGTACGAGGCCGTTTGACGAATAGCTTCTGTGCAGGGCGCGACTTACATATGCTGAGAATGCGTGTGCGTTTGTGTGTGCGTGCGATCAAGTACAATGCACAAAGATGCGTGGTCATTTTTACGTGGTCATCATTTTCAATTGTTAAATACTTATTCTGGAACAATGCAATTCTTGGTATATACTTTGTCTTTGTGGGCCAATAACATTTGTACTTTACAGATCATGCCAGCCGTCTTTGTAGGTGATAAGGATAGGAGGGATAACAAGTGTTTATAGCCTGTGGAGGTTGTCCCTTCATATTTGAGAAGATTAACTGTGACTCACCTGAGCAGCATACAAGGGAGGCGGGTACAAATGTGCAGGCATTGCCTGTCCTGCAGATACCGCAGCAGCTGATGCATCTCCTGCGCAGGGGAAACGTATATTTTGATCAGGTTCAGTAGTTCATTGTAAAGCCAACGATAGCAGCCACAAGAAGATGACATGTAACACTGAGCACATTAGCTCAATTTTATACTGGTAGGAACCTCCTGGTTACACCAGCCCACAGGGGATTATTCTGTCTGTCCGTCCTGCATCCAAAAATGGGAGGGGTGGGGCTGGGTGGAGAGGGGAGGGTGGGGAGGGGCTGGGTGGAGAGGGTGGGGAGGGGCTGGGTGGGGAGGGGAGGGTGGGGAGGGGTTGGGTGGGGCTGGGTGGGGGGTGGGAGGGGTGGGGCTGGGTGGGGAGGGGCTGGTCACCCCGTGGTGCCCTTAAACGTTTAACCTACTCACGCCGGCTTGTGCCCGCCCTCACAGTCGGCCATATTTGCGGAATACACCACGCCGCCGTTGACCCTGGCCATTGACCGAGCAACCCAACGTTCCTACCAGCTCCCTCCGCAGGAATGTGTTTAAATACAATTCTGCAAGATTGGGGAACATTTTTTTAATTATCACGGTTGCCGAGTGCAGTCCAAAAGGCCCACAATGCCAAGTGACAAGCAACAAACAGCACTGTTGAAGGCACAATAGATGAGAACGTATATGTTTCTTAAACTGACCAATGTTGTAAGAAGTTAGGAAGAGCGACCATGGGATGGGATTCCAAAGTGAAGCAGAGTGAAGGAAAAAGGCAGAATGTGTTTTGACCTGCAGTACGGTGTTTGAAGACAGCATGGAGAAGATGGAATGATCAAAATGATCAAGTCCTCAACATGGGTGGAGGATTTAACGAGTGAAGTTCGTAGTAGAAGCAACAGATGAGTGATCAGGAGCAAAAGTGCTATTATTTTTGACTAAAGTTTGTACTTTAAATTTAAATTATGATTTCAGAATGGGAAAATAAAATGTTGCAGGTGGTCATGGAAATTAATCAACATTGGTTTCATTTATTTGCATGGCACGTTGGAATACTATAGGCTAAGATATTCCAGGGCCTGTGCCAGGAACAGACATGGGGGAGTAGCAAAGACTCTCATCAATAAACTTAACAAAAAATATCTGTGCAAAGCCAGGACGCACAGTAACATGTGGAACGTGGATTTTTTTTGTTTAAAACACCCATGCCACAGAGAGCAAAGTGCTGCCATAAAAACAATCTAATTGGCAATAAACACACGTGTTTAGAAACATGTAAACATATTTAAGCTGAACCTCCCAGTGTAATTCCTGAGCTGAACCAAAATAAAATTATTTCCATCGACAAAAAAGTGATACCTTTAACTTTTTTGCAATAACAATGTATTATTATTATTATTATTTAACAAATTCCACACGAAAACTAAAATCATCAATTATTGGATGAGGTGGATGGCACCACCACCTTGTTCGCAGGAAGAGGTGAATGAAGAGGCTGATGTAAATCGCGTGACCACAGGTGCGGCCGCATTCAAACCACACTCACCCAGTCTCTGGCGGCTGGCATCGAGTTTATCGGAAAATCCTTACCTCGGCAATGTATCAGATCTAAGCAACGAAAACCCACCGCTCTCTGGGCAACACACCTCGGGCGGCTGGTGTTTACAGAACAACACTGCTCTGGCAGTTCCCAGAGCCATCCAGAGGGTGGGTGGAGGCAGGGGGGCCGCAAAAAAGAGGGCATTTTGCCCTGGGCCTCACATAAAAAGAGAGCTTCACAACAGGACTCGTTTTTGTTGTTGACACGAATGAAGAAGGGGGGACATCACGTGGCATTCTGCCCCAGGCCTCTGACCCCCAGGCCTCCAAAGACCTCTGGGTTGCCACTGCTACCTGCTCCTTACATGCGGGGAGATTTCCACCCTGGGTTGGGCAATGGTGGCACGACATTGTATGCATTTTTAAGAAATGATAAAGGGTGATCAAAGGGGTCTGTTTACTGCCAGTAGTTTTAGGTTATAACAAAAACAAAACACAACTGTCAAGGCTGTTTTGTACCAAAGCAGTCATGTCGAGCAATGATTCATCCCAGCAGCGATTCTGTGGATTGTCGTGATACAAAATAACAGTTCAATTGAAGAATCCCCTTTTTTAATCAAAAAAATGCCCGGACAAGTTGAATTATATTTTCTCATTTGTGCAATTTTGTTCACGCCATTACCCGAGCTGTAACATTCGGAAGCGATTTCCACGTAACTTTCTTAAACAGTAATCAGTACGCACAATTCAACGGGTGCATCGTGTGTGTAAGAATTAATTTTGAGCAATGAATCAAAAGATTGCATTTTCAAATACCCAATGATTTAACGCTAACTTCAAGTAAAGGATGAAAAAACCCATATATATTCCGTTTGAATATTCTCCGCAAAGTCTGAATGTGCGGATGAAATGGCACTGCAGGGACATGTCATCGGTCACTCGGGTTTACGCTGAAAAGGACAGAAGTGTAGTTCTCCAAAATGGAAGAGGCACAGCGATAATCGCCTTGTAGTGCGTGGCAGGCAGATGGGCTGTCACCTCGCCAGCATGGTGGAAAGGGTGATGTCAGAACGCAAAAGAAGTCTTGTGGCTTCACAGGGCGACACTTAAAGGCACTGCCCTCTGGTGTCTTTTCGGGCTCACGCCAAGGCGCTCGGTCTGCTTTACACATGTGAATAACCGTTGCCCTTGGGAAATGTGCAAATGGGTTTGCCGCGTGTAAAGGTAGAGGCCCCTCTCTACGCACATGGGGCACCCCGAGGAATATGACAGCAGCCAACGTTGACGACTGAACTTTAGCGATGGGTCCCCATTAATGATGAAACCGGTCTGGAGTTGTTTCAGTTTTCACCGCTGCCTATTGGTTGGCAACGTTTATTCAACCGTTTGAGTTGGTGGTCCGAAGGACAAAATGGCCGCGCATTCAGTTCTTTTGAGGTGGTGGTCTGGATAAGGCCAAGAGCTTTTGTACATGCAATGCACATCTTTGTTTGCTGATAAAGATGTCGGTCTACTTCACCAAAAGGTAGTGAATATTTGTACATTTACACCACATTTGGCACTGTATGTTTACCATGTACAATACCGTATCATCTGCATTATAAGACATACATTCCCCCCCCCCCCCTGTAATTTAAAATAAAAGTTGGATGCCCGTCTTTTTATAATCCGCTCGGTTTGCATGTGTGAAACCAGGTTTGTAAAAGTTATTGACACTGGGCACAAATTTGGAGTGTCTAATTTCCCGGGGTGTATTATAATCTCGAGAATACAGTATAAAGGGTGCAAATGCACCAAATGTAATTACCAACTTATTTAGCCATACACATTTTGGGCATGCCACCGGTGACACTGCAGTACTGCCCAATCATGGAAACACGTGCCGTCGATCCGTTACGTCGGCGATGTTTTGTGCCCCTCGCAAAGGTGCAGGACATTCATTCAACGACCTTCCAGGACGTTCCAGGAACCGTTACGTTGGGTGGATCTCGGCGGTATTTCAACTTTCGGCGTGAAGGGGACGGGCATTAAAATTGTCACCCAGCCGCACAAAATGTAGCGTGGAGTCGAAGCGGCAGAGTTGCAAAATGCTGGAGGTGCGTGCAGTTTTCCAGAATATTAAAATGATGTGGGCACCCCCCCCCCCCCCCCGTCCCGCTCTCCACCGACTGATGCTTGTCTCTCGGAAGATGGGTTTTGGGATAAGTGCTGTGGTAACTTGGCCACACACCAATCTAAACGATTGGCTTTCTTGATAAGGAGACAAATTGATAACATGTGTGCTACCAAACAAAACAAACGAATAAATACACGGCCAGCACTTGCTCGTGCGGTGAAGCGTTAATTAATTACACGGATCTAACAATCTCGTATTACTCTTTATTTAATACGAAAAGAATAACAACCACATACGATGCATTGTTACAAAATCAGAGCACACATTTTCATTCCGGATTCATTGAAGTCATTCATCATCATCATTTACCGTCATCAATTTTGCTTTCACCAAATTCACGCATCACAGATTCGCCCCCCCATTGCTCCCCCTCATCTATTGATTCACCTCGTCTCAACCATTACATTCATACATTGTACCGTTTTTAATTCCCTGTCAAGGCGCTATATAAATGACGTTAAGATAATAAATGTAAAAGTTAAATTAATTACAGCCCTTTATAAGTCTACTCTTGAATGAATGCCTCCGCACAGCTTTGGGCCATGGGGGGCTATTTGACCACACTTTACCGTGCCGCTCAACGGGACTTGGTACAGGAGGACCCAGGACCAGTTTAGGTATCATTCGTCACTCGTGTTAGCTATGGCGGGAGTTGAAGTGAGGTCATGCAGGTTCACAGCGCATTGTGCTAACCGCTGGGCCACTGCTCGAACCTACTTGCATGTAAAAGTAAGAAATAGACTACAAACAAAGATCCCCCGTTTAGCCTTACCAGACTGTTGGGGCAAGTGCTGTTAGTGAGCACATATGAAGGCCGGCACGGCACACGAGGGGGTGGTTGGCCAGCACCACGCCCGGCCGCTTTTGTCTCCCCAGTGGCGATGTTTACTACACACCACGCCAGGTACTCATTTAGGGCTGAGTCGACCTAGGGGAGGCCCAGAACCGGTTCAGATAATCGTCACTGGTGTTGGCCGTGAGCGGGAATCGAACTCGGGTGGCCGGGTTCGTTGTACAGCGTGCTAACCGCTACACCACCGCTCCCCACATTGTCAGAAACACACATTGACTGTTTTTGACTTCTGTAATTAAATTGAATGAACGCTCATAGTCCAAGCTGCATATTCACAGGTGCCGGAAACAACACCACACCAAAACAGAGTGTGTATTAACAGAGTGTGCTCGGCAAGTATTTTTTGTCTAATTTGCCTGACGGGGAAAGATCAGAAATGTCCAATTTAAATGTAATGCCCAATCAGGAGGAGGTCAGTTGGGATTTTGCAGAAAACCCTTTCAGCATGCTGCTGCTGCGCAGAGAACACGGCGAACAAAACGTCGCGAGTCATCAAGTGGCCGCATCAGGCTCACTCCATACACGATGTCGTCCCATTGAGTCTCACCCAGGAGCACGAAGCCTCCATCTTCCTTCTCTGTGGTTGCAGGAGCAATGCTGGTCGGTTCTTTGTTTCTCTTTCCGAAAAGACTGGACAGCATCGTGGTCGAACAGAATTGCCTGCAGCAGAAAAGGGAACGCATGATGCGAGTGTGAGCCGGTTACACGGGCATTACATGTGCGTGTAAGCGTACTGTGCACGCTCCACAGATTATGCACATAAGGCTCTCCTATTATAAAAGCCCGGCGTTGCGTTTGTTCGATTGTCCATCAACTAAATTATGAGAGCCTTTCAGAAGTCCTGAATCAAAAAGTTAAAGAAAGTGGACTCCCCCCCCCACCCAGATGTGGGGGTAAAAAGTTGATCAAACAGGTTTACAACAATTGTCGACCCCCCCTCAACCAACATTTTTACATTTATTTTGTAGGTATATAAACCTACACACCCTACATACAATAGAGTCAGTAGTATCTACACGCATTGGCGGGGGGGGGGGCATCAGTGGGGGCGATGGGCAAGGTGCGTAGCGCTAAGAATCCCTACGCAGGAGCTAAAATAAGGTGGCCATAGGCCTTTGAAAATTCTAGTATTTCAAAAAAGTCATCACATTTGATGTCGATTGTCAATGTGTCCAGGTTCTTACTGTTTCTTATTTCCTATTTTTCAATGTTAGACATCATCCAGTTCGTTCACTTAACCTTGCCAACTCACTCTCAGACGAGACCCGGTTAACATTTGAAACCAGACAGAACTCATTCTCGAATGTTGTACCAGATCCAGCTCACTCTTAAAACCAGACCTATGTTACTTTGAAATATAACCAAAGATTAATCGTTAAATCACACACAGCTCACTCTTAAAGTACGCCAAGCTCACTCTTAAAATAAAACCAGACCAATTTTTCGATTTAAAGCTTTCGTGACTGCAGGGATTCATATTCTTGGATCTTTCGGTAAAGTCACGTAGAAGGGAAATAATAAAATAATATAAATAAAACATAAAATTCTCACGACGTTTCGGCCACAACACAAGCAGCCGTCCGCAGGTGAAGAACAGAGCTGTCGGAAAGACAGCGTCTTAATGAACACCGCTAAGCTTGGCAGCGTATTTTTAAGCTGGGTGGGAGGAGCAGAGTGCCTTGACAAAGGAGTTTACATATCAACAGAGGAGTTTAGCATATTGACGCTAAAGAACTGCTTCTACCCTACTACCATACAATAAACCAACGTGAAAAAACTAGGTATAAACTACATCAATATAATCAATGTACTCAAAATACTCAACAATAAGCTGAGCTTTCCGACAGACCTGTTCTTCACCTGAGGACGGCTGCATGTGTTGTGGCCGAAACGTCGTGAAAATTTTATTACGTTGTATTTTATTATTATTTTATTATTATTTCCCTTCTACGTTACTTTACCGAAAGATCCAAGAATATAAACCAGACCAAGCTCACTCTTCAATTAGGCCACGCTCACTCTTTAACGAGAATCTGCATACTCTTTAAACCAGACCAAGCGTTCTCCTAAACCAAACCCAACTCACTCTCGAATCTTAAACCAATCTAATTTCTTGAGAACTGCTTTTTGTGTTTAGGATGCTGTCCTTCCCCCGCATATCCAATTACCAAGGTTGGCTACGTACGGCGTGAAAGAAGTTCACAATACATTTATACCCAGCCCAATCTTAAACAGAACTCGGCTAACTCTTAAACTAGACGCAGCAACCCCTTAAACCAGGCCCTGCTTACTCTTAATCCAGACCACTCACACTTAAACCAGATACGACTCACTCTTAAACCAGGCCCAGAGCACTATTAATTCATAACCAGCTCACTTTGCAGCCTTAAACCAGGCCCCCTTCATATTTCAAATCCAGCTCACTCTTAAACCACGCACAGCTCACTCTTAACTACACACACAGCTCACTCTTAACTACACACAGCTCACTCTTAACCACACACACAGCTCACTCTTAAACCACACACAGCTCACTCTTACCTACACACAGCTCACTCTTAACCACACACACAGCTCACTCTTAACTACACACACAGCTCACTCTTACCTGCACACAGCTCACTCTTAACCACACACACAGCTCACTCTTAACTACACACACAGCTCACTCTTAACTACACACACAGCTCACTCTTAACTACACACACAGCTCACTCTTAACTACACACAGCTCACTCTTAACTACACACAGCTCACTCTTAACTACACACACAGCTCACTCTTAACTACACACAGCTCACTCTTAACTACACACACAGCTCACTCTTAACTACACACACAACTCACTCTTAACCCCACACAGCTCACTCTTAACTACACACACAACTCACTCTTAACCACACACACAGCTCACTCTTAACTACACACACAACTCACTCTTAACCACACACAGCTCACTCTTAACTACACACACAGCTCACTCTTACCTACACACACAGCTCACTCTTAACTACACACACAACTCACTCTTAACTACACACAGCTCACTCTTAACTACACACAGTTCACTCTTAACTACACACACAGCTCACTCTTACCTACACACACAGCTCACTCTTACCTACACACACAGCTCACTCTTAACTACACACACAACTCACTCTTAACTACACACACATCTCACTCTTAACTACACGCACAGCTCACTCTTAACTACACACACAGCTCACTCTTAACTACACACACAGCTCACTCTTAACCACACACACAGCTCACTCTTAACTACACACACAGCTCACTCTTAACTACACACACAGCTCACTCTTACCTACACACAGCTCACTCTTAACTACACACACAACTCACTCTTAACTACACACACAACTCACTCTTAACTACACACACATCTCACTCTTAACTACACACACAGCTCACTCTTAACTACACACACAGCTCACTCTTAACTACACACACAGCTCACTCTTAACTACACACACAGCTCACTCTTAACTACACACACAACTCACTCTTAACTACACACACATCTCACTCTTAACTACACACACAGCTCACTCTTAACTACACACACAGCTCACTCTTAACTACATACACAGCTCACTCTTAACTACACACAGCTCACTCTTACCTACACACACAGCTCACTCTTAACTACACACACAGCTCACTCTTAACTACACACAGCTCATTAACTACACACAGCTCACTCTTAACTACACACACAGCTCACTCTTAACTACACACAGCTCACTCTTAACTACACACAGCTCACTCTTAACTACACACAGCTCACTCTTAACTACACACAGCTCACTCTTAACTACACACAGCTCACTCTTAACTACACACAGCTCACTCTTAACTACACACACAGCTCACTCTTAACCACACACACAGCTCACTCTTAACTACACACAGCTCACTCTTACCTACACACAGCTCACTCTTAACTACACACAGCTCACTCTTAACTACACACAGCTCACTCTTAACTACACACACAACTCACTCTTAACTACACACAACTCACTCTTAACTACACACAGCTCACTCTTAACTACACACAGCTCACTCTTAACTACACACAGCTCACTCTTACCTACACACACAGCTCACTCTTAACTACACACACAGCTCACTCTTCACTACACACAGCTCACTCTTAACTACACACAGCTCACTCTTAACTACACACAACTCACTCTTAACTACACACAACTCACTCTTAACTACACACAGCTCACTCTTAACTACACACAGCTCACTCTTAACTACACACAGCTCACTCTTACCTACACACACAGCTCACTCTTAACTACACACACAGCTCACTCTTCACTACACACAGCTCACTCTTAACTACACACAGCTCACTCTTAACTACACACAACTCACTCTTAACTACACACAGCTCACTAACTACACACACAGCTCACTAACTACACACACAGCTCACTAACTACACACAGCTCACTAACTACATTCACAGCTGTTCGTCTTCACCGCACCGGCGTGCGTCCGCATTGAGACCCCCCCACACACTGTCACTGGACGTTTCCTTATTTTTTTTATCATTAAGCCGAAGTCCTCACTTGTAAATGACGCCGGGTGAAGTGTCGTCGTGGTCGTCGTGGTTGTCGTGGTGGTGTTTAAGCAGTAAGTAGATGATGATAGTCGTGCTGTGTGTCTGTGTGTGTAAGTCGGTGACCTGCTACGTGAAGCCGGGTGACGCGGGCAAGCCCTGAGCCGCTAAGGGACCGCGGCCACTTTGCTCTGTTCAGTTCTTGTTGTGAGTCGCCGTCGACTCGCGGTAGTACTTCATCGCGGACTCCTGGTGGGGAGGGTGGAGGGTGGGGGGAATACGCGGACCCCCTTTAGGGGGGTGGGGGCTCCGGGGACCCCCTGGGGGGGGGGGGGGGGCTAGGGGGGGCTAGGCGGACACTCTGGGGGGGGGGGGGCTAGGCAGACCCCCTGGGGGGGGGGGGGCTAGGGGGACACTCTGGGGGGGGGGGGGGGGGCTAGGCAGACCCCCTGGGGGGGGGGGCTAGGGGGACACTCTGGGGGGGGGCTAGGGGGACACTCTGGGGGGGGGGCTAGGCAGACCCCCTGGGGGGGGGGGGGCTAGGGGGACACTCTGGGGGGGGGGCTAGGGGGACAGTCTGGGGGGGGGGGGCTAGGCAGACCCCCTGGGGGGGGGGGCTAGGGGGGGGGCTAGGTGGACACTATGGGGGGGGGCTAGGGGGGGGGCTAGGCAGACCCCCTGGGGGGGGGCTAGGGGGGGGGCTAGGTGGACACTCTGGGGGGGGGCTAGGGGGGGGGCTAGGGGGGGGGCTAGGCGGACCCCCTGGGGGGGGGCTAGGGGGGGGAGCTAGGGGGGGGGGTTAGGGGGGGGGCTAGGCGGACCCCCTGGGGGGGGGGCTAGGGGGGGGAGCTAGGGGGGGGGGGCTAGGGGGGGGGGGCTAGGCGGACCCCCTGGGGGGGGGGGGCTAGGCGGCAATGTCCCAGCAGGGGGTGCACTGAGTCACCGCACGCTGGTGCACACACGTGCATTGATGTGGTGCACGGCACTTGAGGACTTGTTACAAGAGTGGTCCATTCCTAATGTGCCACACAGCACGAGCCAAAACAAGTTTAGAAACTCCTGCCGTAGAGTAGATACATAGAGCAAGTGACTTTGTTAAAACATAAAAAAACACTTTCAAAGTGACACCACGGTTTGATTTTAGTTTAGAGAGAAGATCACATTCAGCGCCGCTGTCATGTCACTTTAAACGTGTTTAGTTTCCCGTCTTTGACGCGCTGTGTGTGATTAGTTTGTATGTTGAGTCTGTGTAGTTAATCTGTTGATCGTCTTAGTCTGCTTGCTTGTTATTTGTTTAGACTTTTACTGGGGCGAGGCTAAATATGGAATCTCGTGTCAGCGTTTTGCTAGTGCCTCTACAGTACTGCGTGCTATTAGATGTCCTTGTAGGATGTGAAGAATTAGTTCGTAAATTGTGTTTGAAATTGTAAACCCACTACTGTGTAGCCGACACGAACACCAGCTGACCAGTGTCAATATTTTTTATATTTTAAGTGTATTAACAGGTGACGCTCTCGGTAGCATTACTCTCCTCTCTATCTGTGCCCCCCCCCCCCCCGTCTCTCTGTTATCCATATCTCGCCATAGGAATGTGGAATTTCCACAACTGGTTTCACGGGAATCAAATCTCGCCAACGCTGCCCTCCCCCCCCCCGCGTGTGTGTTCACAGCGGTGCCCGACCCCTGACCTCTGTGTGCGTCACGTGCCTCAGCCACCCGTCAACGTCACGAGACCAGAGACTGGGAACGACGTCTCCACGTGTCTCTCTGTGTGTCTCAGTGTCTCTGTGTCTCAGTGTCTCTGTGTTTCTGTGTTTCAGTGTCTCTCTGTGTGTCTCAGTGTCTCTGTGTCTCAGTGTATCTGTGTTTCAGTGTCTCAGTGTCTCTCTGTGTGTCTCAGTGTCTCAGTGTCTCTGTGTCTCAGTGTCTCTGTGTTTCTGTGTTTCAGTGTCTCAGTGTCTCTCTGTGTCCCTGTGTATCTGTGTCTCAGTGTCTCACTGTGTCTCTGTGTCTCAGTGTCTCTCAGTGTCCCTGTGTCTCAGTGTCTCCTTGTCTCTGTGTTTCAGTGTCTCAGTGTCTCTCTGTGTCCCTGTGTCTCAGTGTCTCTGTGTCTCAGTGTCTCTCAGTGTCCCTGTGTCTCAGTGTCTCCGTGTCTCTGTGTTTCAGTGTCTCAGTGTCTCTCTGTGTCCCTGTGTCTCAGTGTATCTCTGTGTCTCAGTGTCTCTCTGTGTCTCAGTGTCTGTGTCTCAGTGTCTCTCAGTGTCTCAGTGTCTCCCTGTGTCCCAGTGTCTCCCTGTGTCTCAGTGTCTCTCTGTGTCTCAGTGTCTCCCTGTGTCCCAGTGTCTCGCTGTGTCTCAGTGTCTCTGTGTCTCAGTGTCTCTCTGTGTCTCAGTGTCTCTCAGTGTCTCAGTGTCTCTCTGTGTCTCAGTGTCTCCCTGTGTCCCAGTGTCTCCCTGTGTCTCAGTGTCTCTCTGTGTCTCAGTGTCTCTCTGTGTCCCAGTGTCTCCCTGTGTCTCAGTGTCTCCCTGTGTTTCAGTATCTCCCTGTGTCCCAGTGTCTCCCTGTGTCTCAGTGTCTCTCTGTGTCCCTGTGTCTCTCTGTCTCACTGTGTCGCAGTGTCTCTGTGTCTCAGTGTCTCTGTGTCTCAATGTCTCAGTGTCTCTGTGTTTCTCTCTCTGTGTCCCTGTGTCTCAGTGTCTCTCTGTGTCCCTGTGTCTCCGTGTCTCTGTGTCTCTCTGTGTCTCAGTGTCTCAGTGTCTCTCTGTGTCTCAGTGTCTCTCTGTGTCTCAGTGTCTCTCTGTGTCCCTGTGTCTCAGTGTCTCTGTGTTTCAGTGTCTCTCTGTGTCCCTGTGTCTCAGTGTCTCTGTGTCTCAGTTTCTCTCTGTGTCCCTGTGTCTCAGTGTCTCCGTGTCTCTGTGTCCCTGTGTCTCTGTGTCCCTGTGTCTCAGTGTCTCTATGTGTCCCTGTGTCTCAGTGTCTCTGTGTCTCAGTGTCTCCCTGTGTCTCAGTGTCTCAGTGTCTCTCTGTGTCTCAGTGTCTCTCTGTGTCTCAGTGTCTCAGTGTCTCTCTGTGTCCCTGTGTCTCAGTGTCTCCGTGTCTCTGTGTTTCAGTGTCTCACTGTCTCTCTGTGTCTCAGTGTCTCTCTGTGTCTCAGTGTCTCTCTGTGTCTCAGTGTCTCTCTGTGTGTCTGTGTCTCAGTGTCTCCGTGTCTCTGTGTTTCAGTGTCTCAGTGTCTCTCTGTGTCCCTGTGTCTCTGTGTCTCAGTGTCTCACTGTGTCTCAGTGTCCCTGTGTCTCAGTGTCTCCTTGTCTCTGTGTTTCAGTGTCTCAGTGTCTCTCTGTGTCCCTGTGTCTCAGTGTCTCTGTGTCTCAGTGTCTCTCTGTGTCCCTGTGTCTCAGTGTCTCTCTGTGTCTCAGTGTCTCTCTGTGTCTCAGTGTCTCTCTGTGTGTCTGTGTCTCAGTGTCTCCGTGTCTCTGTGTTTCAGTGTCTCAGTGTCTCTCTGTGTCCCTGTGTCTCTGTGTCTCAGTGTCTCACTGTGTCTCAGTGTCCCTGTGTCTCAGTGTCTCCTTGTCTCTGTGTTTCAGTGTCTCAGTGTCTCTCTGTGTCCCTGTGTCTCAGTGTCTCTGTGTCTCAGTGTCTCTCTGTGTCCCTGTGTCTCAGTGTCTCCGTGTCTCTGTGTTTCAGTGTCTCAGTGTCTCTCTGTGTCCCTGTGTCTCAGTGTATCTCTGTGTCTCAGTGTCTCTCTGTGTCTCAGTGTCTCTCAGTGTCTCTCTGTGTCTCAGTGTCTCCCTGTGTCCCAGTGTCTCTCTGTGTCTCAGTGTCTCTCTGTGTCTCAGTGTCTCCTTGTGTCCCAGTGTCTCGCTGTGTCTCAGTGTCTCTGTGTCTCAGTGTCTCTCTGTGTCTCAGTGTCTCAGTGTCTCTCTGTGTCTCAGTGTCTCCCTGTGTCCCAGTGTCTCCCTGTGTCTCAGTGTCTCTCTGTGTCTCAGTGTCTCTCTGTGTCCCAGTGTCTCCCTGTGTCCCAGTGTCTCCCTGTGTCTCAGTGTCTCCCTGTGTCTCAGTATCTCCCTGTGTCCCAGTGTCTCCCTGTGTCTCAGTGTCTCTCTGTGTCCCTGTGTCTCTCTGTCTCACTGTGTCTCAGTGTCTCTGTGTCTCAGTGTCTCTGTGTCTCAGTGTCTCTGTGTTTCTCTCTCTGTGTCCCTGTGTCTCAGTGTCTCTCTGTGTCCCTGTGTCTCAGTGTCTCCGTGTCTCTGTGTTTCAGTGTCTCAGTGTCTCTCTGTGTCTCAGTGTCTCAGTGTCTCTCTGTGTCTCAGTGTCTCTCTGTGTCTCAGTGTCTCTCTGTGTCCCTGTGTCTCAGTGTCTCCGTGTCTCTGTGTTTCAGTGTCTCAGTGTCTCTCTGTGTCCCTGTGTCTCAGTGTCTCTGTGTCTCAGTTTCTCTCTGTGTCCCTGTGTCTCAGTGTCTCCGTGTCTCTGTGTTTCAGTGTCTCAGTGTCTCTCTGTGTCCCTGTGTCTCTGTGTCTCAGTGTCTCCCTGTGTCCCAGTGTCTCCCTGTGTCTCAGTGTCTCTCTGTGTCTCAGTGTCTCAGTGTATCCCTGTGTCCCAGTGTCTCCCTGTGTCTCAGTGTCTCTCAGTGTCTCCCTGTGTCTCAGTGTCTCCCTGTGTCCCAGTGTCTCCCTGTGTCTCAGTGTCTCTCTGTGTCCCTGTGTCTCAGTGTCTCTCTGTCTCACTGTGTCTCAGTATCTCTGTGTCTCAGTGTCTCTGTGTCTCAGTGTCTCTGTGTCCCTGTGTCTCAGTGTCTCTCTGTGTCCCTGTGTCTCAGTGTCTCCGTGTCTCTGTGTTTCAGTGTCTCAGTGTCTCTCTGTGTCTCAGTGTCTCAGTGTCTCTCTGTGTCTCAGTGTCTCCCTGTGTCTCAGTGTCTCTCTGTGTCCCTGTGTCTCAGTGTCTCACTGTGTCTCAGTGTCCGTGTGTCTCAGTGTCTCCTTGTCTCTGTGTTTCAGTGTCTCAGTGTCTCTCTGTGTCCCTGTGTCTCAGTGTCTCTGTGTCTCAGTGTCTCTATGTGTCCCTGTGTCTCAGTGTCTCTGTGTCTCAGTGTCTCCCTGTGTCTCAGTGTCTCAGTGTCTCTCTGTGTCTCAGTGTCTCTCTGTGTCTCAGTGTCTCAGTGTCTCTCTGTGTCCCTGTGT